GGCTTTGCAATTAAGAAGTTCTTAGTGTAATTAAGGGCACCTTCACACTAATTAATTCACAGCACACAGTGCCATGAGTATGGAAGAAAAATCCATGTGGCAAATTAATTTCCCATGCAACTCTGACAGTCTCACCTGCCGTTATTTACTAATCCAAGTTCTTGGGACCAGGAGGAGTTCTAGGGAACCAGAAAGAGGACTAATATTTTTCTCCAAATTAACAGCTAAAGGTGCGTTTCCACCTCTCCTTCTTCACCAGCACCTCCCCTCCATGGACTGTTCTACCCTGTGACTCAGCATGGCCAATACTCAACGCTGGACCTTTCTTTAGACACAAAGAGCTTGGAAGCCTTTGAAGATCCAAGGCTCTTCCCTTGCGGTCCTTGAGCAGTGACCCTTGATATCAGATTCCTGTAAGTTATATATAAGTTATATATACATACCACAAACCTGAGCTAAAGGAAGCCCGGAATAACGGTGCTCAGTTCCACATGAGGAGCCGCCTGCCGCGGCTCCCATCCGCTGCATCCCATCACCTGCAAGCCAGGGAAGCTGTGAGCTGGCAACAGCCAACTGCCAAGGAGTGCAGTGAAAAACCTTCACCACAAAGGAGCTCGCAAAAGAAAAACAGGTAAATAAGGATTACAGGGGCTGTGAAGGCTGTTTCATTGCAGCAGCCCATAAAGAGCAATTTCTCTGCCTTTTGTAGGCTTTCATTTTGGCTGATATGATTTAAACTAAACCTTGAACTGGCATTTCCACCCCCCCCACCCAACTCATTAAGAACCATGGAGCTTGGTTGCAGGAACCATCTAACCTTCCTCAGAAGTTCAAGGACTGCTGAAGGAAAAGGCAAGGAGGAATTAAGAAGCTGCACTCACATTCACTGCTTTATCAAGTGGCAAAAGCTCCAATCTCTCCCTCGGTTCAGCTGCTCGGAGGGGGAGTGCATGGCAGCCCTGGCAGAGTTCCTGTTTACTTGTTTTACGATGTTGTAATGAGGAACCCATTAAATTAATAGCTGTGCTTTATTTTTAATGTTATGTTTAGCTAATCCGGACTTACACTGGCACTCCTCATTCATAGAGAACAAAATTCCAACTCTCCGTGCGGATGGATTCCGTCACTGAGACAATATGGGGATACAGAGGGATGCTCCGGAGGTCGTGGGAAGGAAAACACGGTCCCCTTCGGATGCCTGTGAGGGAGCATCGCTCCAGTCCTTCAGCTGGTGCCCATTCCAGCCACGAGCTCAAGCAGTTCCAAGAGTCCCAGTCACAGCCAGCCTGGGAAGCACCGTTCCGAGATGCAGACCGGCACGGAAGCGTTTCAGGCAATCAGACACAAACAGTTTAGCACCAAACTACAGACAAACACTTCTAACCAGTTTAGAAATAAAATATAACAACAACTTGAAAGACAAATTGAAAAATTCTGCCTGGAAAAGCAGCACACAGCATGAGATCACAGGATTCAGCAGACTATAAAATAGGAAATGAGACTCACTCTTCTCTCCCTACAGCTGCACAAAACCCTCCTACAAAGATTACAGACACGCTTGGCAATTGCCTTCCTCCTCCAGTCTCTCCCGTTGTGGACAAGGCAGAGCTGATGGAAGCCCGAATACACAGAGGATGTTACATAAAGCATCTTGCAAAGCCAAGTGTGAAATATTAACAACAGGAGGCAGCGGGTTGCGTTTTTTTCTGCTAGATCACAAATTTGGGGCTTAGAAAGCCTGAGACGCCCTTGCACACTGGAACCTCAAAGCGCTTGTTGAACATCTCATTTAAAAAGCTACTGAAGCTTACTCAGAAGTTTCTATGACTGTTTCTTCTTTAACTTTGTTGTTTCATTCCTTTTCCTTCCTGTAACGCTAAGAACTTTTGCATAAATAAGAAGTTTGTGTCTGCCATTCATCTGGCCAGTTTCAAAAGAGTTCATACTGCTGAAGCGGGCACTTTGCAAGCCTGTGCTTTCCTGTTAAATTATCACAGTGGTGCACACTGGATGCAAATTTCCAGCTGCATTTGCACACACAATTACCCAATTTGCACACAGAACTGTGGTACCTGGGCAGGCAGAACGGGCACAGTGCTGCTTGGCTGCGTGGAGCACTGGCTGTGAGCTGTATCTGGCATGGGACAGTTTGGGATTGAGTAGGTAAAAAGAAGATCATTATCCAGAAGTACTTCTGGATGCAGCAAAAGCTCCATTTATCCAGCACATAAAGCATCAACGGCAGCACGTTGGCTCTCCCACCCCACCTCAAACTTGCCTTGGAGGAAACGGCTCCAAATTGAGGCTCTACAATAAACTCAGCCCATGTTTATCCCGCCGTCCACGCTGCCCGTTGATGCCAGCTGTGCCAGTGGTTGTGTGAAAAGCCTCCTATTCGACCCCGTCCACCAGGCTCCGGGAACGACGACCTTTGCCACTTTGGGACGTAACTGAGACCTGCTGTCACAGTCCTGCATGGCGCTCAGCACCCACCAAGCAGCCACGGAGAAACAGAAGCAGAGCGGCAGAGTCAGGGTTCCCTCTCTCTTTGAAAGGGTCCCAGGACCAGCGAAGAGGAGGAAGAAAAACAGCATAACCTGTATTAACAGGTAAGAGAAGCTGGGTAACCTGTACGTTTCTTGCTTAACCAGCACCCAAGGCTCTGCAAACTCCACTTCATCCCTGGCAACCTCTTGTCAGCCCCTCTGCTCCTCGTTCTTTCCTAAGCTCAGAAACCACTGAGCAACCACAGCGCTCCAGCACCATCCCCTACCATGGGAGAGGGGCTCCGTGAAGCCCGGGATCCATGGAATCACCACGAGAGCTGCACGGGAGGCCACGATCCCACAGCACGGCAGGACTGAAGAGCTTCCAACTTCACGGCTACACCGTGAATGAACTTCTGTCCTCAGAAACTACTGCAGACCAAGGGCTACACAAGCCAGCGCTGAGGGGATAGGGTGGAAGAGGTGCATTTTCAGCTCATAATCAAGCAGTTCCTCACGTGGAGATACTGGGTGGCCTCAGAGTGCCACTTTGTCCTTGCTGGGCTGCAGAACAGCCGCAGTGCACGTGGCCAGCGTTAGCTGGAGATGTTACATTTATGATTTTATGGCTGAGTTTTTTCCCTCTACCCTCTATCAATTGAGCTCACCGTCTGAACGATCACATCTGTTTATGTTCCACAGACACCTGCATATCTTGAGATGACAGCAACTCTGTGAATGCTGTAATCAGTTATTTCTCAACAGAGGAATTGCCAATTTGGTAAATAAAGCTCATTATAAAAGAACATGGAAATATATTACAGTTGCCTAACAGAGAAAATTGTCCAGTGCCGCCAGATAATCAGTCCTGGCATAACAGTCCCCCCTCAATTTGTGGTGGCTGAAACACTGACACGCAGATGACTTGTGCCAAGGCGACACTGGATGGGGGCAAGGGGAAAACGGGATGGAGATGAAATAGGTATTTTTCTCTTCAGACCAACAATAATTTAATATCTAGTCAGGGATGAACGTTGCTGCTCTGCATCTCTGCGCGCGGTGTCGGGAGTTCAGTGCTCTGCGGTACCTGGTTATCGTGGGCAGATCCCAGGGCTGCTTCGGTGGCTGGAACCGCCTGCCCAGAGCTGCTAGAGAGATCCAAGGGCCCTACGTGTCCTACCTGGGCCGAGGAAACCTGCCCTTCCTCCTCTGGGGCACCACGCTGCACCTGCATGGTGATAAAAGACAGAAATTCTGCAAGATCCGGGGCCAACAAAAATGAGCTGTGGAAAAGGAAACACTGCTTGTGAGGAGGAGGAAGGTTGCGGTATCAGCACCCTGGAGGAAGGAAAGGGATTTTGTCCCTTTAACTAAGATCTGAAGCATAAAGTGGCTGCTCAAAGGAAAGAGACCAAGCAGAACATAACACAGAAAACAGTTCTCTGCCCACCTCATCCATTTTCATAAACACTACATAAAACTCTGACATGACCTCCAAAAAAACATATCTATGTTCATATTCTTCAGAAGCTGTCAGCCCGTCGGAGGGGACACGGGCAGCAAACGCTGCCAGCTGCAGGAGAGGCTTTGCTCACAGAAAGGGAATTAAGTCACCAAAATGGACCTGCTCACCTGGGTTGCTGACAGATCTGCTGCAAACCTTCTCTCTTGCAAGAGGATGAAATGCCAGCCACAAACAGCTGCCCCTGCCCCTTGGCTGCACAAAGAGAGGGCACAAGGCAGGGTGTGGGGCTGAGGAGGGATGGGGCTTTGCAGCAGATAAAGCAGGGGCTGTACACAAGAGCTGGCACCAAGATAGATAATCAGAGCTCTGCATTCGGCAGGAAAAGGTTTTCTTGGTGTGATTCACCAAGACCAGCTCCCTTCAGCCAGCGCCTTGCCCTCTTCCAAGTACTTTAAAGAAGCCAAATTCACTCAACCCGGGACCAAAATGAACACGTTTTGTGATTTATAAACTGTGACTGGAAATATTTCTATTCCTCATACTTGCTGGGAGTTTTTGTTGGCAAGGACAGGAGGCAGAAAGCAGCCACATACAAACTCGCAGGACAGAAGGCATCTCACAGCACACGGTGACCATTAAACACTTTATTGGTTGGGAGGGAACCCTGGAAGGGAAGCAACGGGCCTGCTGGTCCAAGCGATGGGCGCACGCTAGGAACAGCTAATCCTAACAAGCTGGTCAGGGATGTTTCCCAGTACTTCAGGCTCCTGTCTCTGAAGCGCAAGGACACAGACAAAAGCTCTGGAAACTCAAATGGGGACGGGTGAAACCAAAGCCAGTACATGGTGAACCAGGCCTGCGTTAGGAGAGCCTCCAAACTACAAGCTGTGCCAGCAGCACTTGTGGCCAAAAGAATTCTTTATATTGTAACACAATAGGAAGAGGAAGCAGTCGTGTCCCCCTCCCTCAGGACCCTCCTCCCAACTCCAGAAACATCCACCGAGGCCGATACATGCAGGCAACCAGAAGAGGAACCACGTCGTCGTCTTGGACCGCTATGGGCAGAAGGCACCAGTTTGGTCAGCGTCTATCCAGAAGGATGCTGGGGCTTCCGAGGGCATCTGTGGTCCCTGTTTTGTGCTCTTGGATGGCTGCTGCTCTTTACCCAGAATTAACTAATAGCTCCTGGAGAAAAAAAGGAGACAAGGCAAAAGACAGCAAGTTAGATACTCAGCTGCAGACATTAGACTGGCTCTTCGAGAAGTGAAGAAACAGGAGCAGCACTGGCATGGCTCAAAAATTGCAGGACAATCCTCAGAAAGCACCACCAGGTATGGCCGGCTGCAAAACACTGCAATCCCTGCGCTCTCGAGTATCTTGAAGAAGGGAACGTATCACAATATCAGCAGTAGGACTGTTTCCGAGAAGCTCCAGCTCAACCCCTGCCCACGTGCTCTGTTGAGGGACGGTGGGTGGGGGAGAAAGGGAAGGCATTTTAAGTGATTTACAAACTACCACAAGAAATAGAGATCTAATAAAAATACTTTGGACTTCTAAAGAAAAGGAGCGAGAAAAACCAGGAGGATTGAGATGTTTTAGGATGGCAGCTGCAGAGCCCACCAGGGCCTCCTCCTGGTTTTACCTTCTTGCTCTTACCAAACCAGAGCACTCAGTCCAGCGGTGCCACGAGCGCAGAGGGGAGCGCAGCCGCCCCCGGCGCCAGGTCCCTTCCCGGCTCCGGCGCCTCCCGCACAAGCCGGGGTCCTGCTCTCCATCGCGGCAGGACCCGCTGCCGGCAGGACTGCGCGGGGCACCCGGCCAAGGCGCTGCGTCCTCCCCCTGCTCTGCACTGAGCAGCGTGCAGGGCACCTTGCTGGACCAGCTGCAGGAGCAGGGCCACACTGGAGGCCGCGCGTGCTGGCATCACCCAGCTGACTAGCGCTGGGTTTGAGTCACTCCTGCTCCTCGTACACTGGTTTTCCATGGGAGGGAAGCTGCTCCTTGTAAGTGACTCAGAATGGGGACCTCACAAAACGATGACACTGCCAAACCTGGCAATGTCTATGGGAAAACGAGGGGTGTCATTTAGGTTTCCTTTGCAGAGCAGCTCAAATGCACCACAAAACACCATCAAACGCCACCAAACGCCACCAAACACGTCACACCTACCTGACCAGGCCTCCCCAAGGAGAGCCCCATCGCCAACAACAACCGCCCAGAGCATTTGAGGAGAGAGAGAAAATTGCTTGCCAAATCATTTACACAAAGCTTATCCAGAAACCCAACAAATGAACCATCGATGCTGCCCGACCAGCTCTAATTTCCGAGGTAATTTTTCTCATCATTAGTGGCTCAGAAGTTTTGCACAGAGCAATATATTCTGAAGTCTCCAATAGCACTCACATAAATTGTAATGAGGGAAGCAGCAACAGCTCGCAATCAATTTCACAATAATTTGCTGCATTCACACTGTAACACTTCAGTTAAGTGTCAAGGAATCCTACATTTTGTGACAAAGACATTGATGGGGCCACTCAGTGATTAACCCTGATGCAAGAGGTTGTATTTTTTTATGGTAATTAAAAAAAAAAAAAAACATAGCTACACAATTTTATTTTCAAAAAAATACATTTTAAACTTCTTTCAGGGGAAAGAAAACCCAGCAGGCGGTGCTTAACTTGGATCAGTTCTCTCCAGCCTAAGCTGTGCACACCGGGGAGGCACCAAGCTGAGGGCTCACGAACATCCCTGTGTGAAAACCCGGCCTCCATCCCACTTTGTCCTAAAACTACTAACCTAAGGACAACTAGACTTTGCCCTTTGGAAGCCGAGGGGCTGCCAGACGGGCCGGACACCCATTTCCTGCCGCGCAGCTCACACCAGGGCAGCTTTAATGCCCCAAGGATGCGAGCGGCGAGAGCATCAGCCAGCGCAGATTGCTCTGAATCGGTCTGATACAATTTCACCCAAGACCAACCTGTGCTGCCCTGAGCGACTCAAATATTTATTTCCCCTTCCCGCTTTGCGAAGGGCACGTGGTGCACGTGGAGTTTATAGTTACAGGGCTGGCGTTCTCGGGACCCAAAGCACTCTGCACACAACTAACTGCAGAGGGACGACCTTGCAGCCGCGGCAGCCCCTTCTGCTCACGCGTCCATCCAGCTCTCGCACCGCTTGCCGAAGCGGCGGCGCCGCGCGGGGCAGCTCTGCAGGTCCCTTGTCACACCTACATGGACAGGCTCATTCAAACACACATGGATTGTTTTCATCTTTTCAGGCCACCAGCTAATAAACCCGTGGCCATCTACCTACAAGCACAGCGGCATCTGCCTCAGGCCTCACACGGTGGGTAACAGTGTGCAAGGGGCCTGCATTGCTGGGACTAAAGCGATTCTTCGCTAAGCCAACTCCTTGCACAAATGCACCGCAGTCATGCAGACAGAGCTGAAGTTACCTCTTGGTTCCTTTCCAATCTGGAGTCCTCCCTGCAGGGCTCTCTCAGGCTGCTGCGATACCCTGAGCAGAACCAGCCAGGAAAGGAAACTCTACAACGTGCTCTGATGGTTGTGGATGCATCCAACAAGACAGACATGCAACAAGCCCAGCTTGCCACATCGAGCCCTTCCCCACTGACTGAGCTGAAGTTCAACCCAAAGTCTGGTGACCCATCACAAAGCTCCTGGCCCCCAGCTGGTGCGAGCTGCTGTCCTGGCTGCTGTCCCAGCACAAGCGCTCGGGCAGCCCTGAGGGGACAGTGCCCTTGTCCTTGCCCAGGCAGGACAGAGCCCCTATATTGCCCCTACCAATATAAGGACAGTGGTATCTATAAAGAGCAGGTTCCAGGAGCTCCAATCCAGCTCCTCTCCATCCAAAACAGCCCTTCTCCCCGATGGCAGAACCAAGGTTTGGTGTCAGCCCCGGGGCCGCCCGTCTCTCCACAAGGTTTCCAGTGCTCCTCCCCACCCTGTGCATCCCCTGTCAGCCTGTGTCTGCCCACAGGGGCTCGGGGCCACCCTGGAGCCCGCAGCCTCCTCTCCTCCTGCTCACAGCCCATGCAGGCATCTTCCCCTTGAAAACCCAGGCCCTGCAGAACTTCCCTTGCCGCAGATGCTGCTTGCCAAGCAAGACGTGTTTGTTCGAAGAGTGTTTAGCCCCACAGAGGCCAACCCAGCACGTGCCCCTCAGCACAAGGCTCTAATCGTCCCTTCAGGCACCCGAGCACACAGGTACTGTGCAGCTACAAGGGAGTCCAAAAGCAGCTCCCTGTGATGAACAACTTGTTGGATCCAGAGTGTCAGTGACAAAGCAGAAATTAATGCCCATAGCTCCCGCCTTGTGCACAGAACTGGGTTTTATCATGGCTCTTTCTCCTTTTATTTTCCTCACCACCACACACGCTACCTGCTCGCACGCCGCAGACTTCAGCAACGCAACTGCACAACTTCTCACCTCTGTTGGTCTGGAAAGAGGCACCAACAAAAGGCAAAACCTCCTGCCCAGCCCTAAGATGGGTGTCCAAGGCCTTGCTCCTGGCTAAGGTATTTGTTGTGGGCTTATTAGCACTCCAGACCACTGCAAGGGACATTTAAGTCACTTTGGTTTGATGTATGCTGTAGGTATTTTTTGGTTATGTGCAATTTGTTCTGTTACATCCAGGGTATTGGCTATTTTGTGGAGCAGCTGTGCTGACTAATGGATCACAGCACTTCTGTGCCATATAGTTATTGCACTGAAAAGCCTCTCCGTCTCTCTCATCCTTCAGGAGTCCAAGAGTTGCTGTCCTTGGGTTCGGAATAAGAAGGGGCAGGAGCATGCCTGGCGGCAGCAAAGAAAAACATTAATTCCAAACGCTATGAAGAGAGTTTTGTTTTCCCTCTTTTGCGGACTGGTGTTAGTGGCTTCGCAAAGCAGAGGGTTCACCCGGTGACTTCTTGGCTGCTTCCCCAGATGGGGCCTGCCCCACACGCCCCACAAGACGTGGGATGAAGAGGAGGCAACAGAGCTTCCTCCCTCGCCGCTCGGGGCTGACGCACCGCGGGCTTTGCTTTGCCTCGATACCCCCTGGCTCTGCACGACCGGGATATGAAGCAAGTTCCCAGCCGGACTAATTCCTACCTGTCCCAGCCCCTCCGGCTGGGGGCCCCGTCTCCCCATCTCTCTGGATGTGCCCCAGGAAGGTGCAGGACCAGGGGGGCAAGCCCTGCTCTGCAAAGGGTCGCTGCTGAAAGGATGCCTGCTAATTAATCAGCATTCACACTGTGGACGTTTTGCTGTTCAATCAATGTTAATTGCATTTAATCTTGCCCCTGCCATTAAGGGAAGCCACCAGGCCAGGCTGATGGTGCTGGTCCCTGCCATGCAGATTCCACACGTGTTTGGGAGGAGAGGCAGGACGGGTAAAGGAGGGGAAGCAGAGAAAATAACCCTTCCTGCCCCTTCTGCATCACCGCTCCGTTTCCTCGGCACCGTCTCATATTTAAACAACTTTTGCTCCCTAGCAAAATCACGGAGGACTCAAAGGACAGAAGGCAGGCGTGGAGCCCTGCTCCGTGGGTACCCCTGCAGAGCAACAACAAAAACAACCTCTAAAACCCTCTGACAACCCCTTAAACAATCCCTGACCAAATCCTCCCTGTCACTCAGCACACGTTTGAAACCCGAATTTCCAAAGGAAACACTGGGGCATCCGCCAGCTCTCTGGCTTTGATCTGGGGACTGCGGCACTATCTGCAGGGCCACCTGTTTGGCAGAGCGGAGCCTTCCCGTGGTGTCAGCAGGAGCCAGCCTGGGGCCACGGGGCAGCTCGTGCAGCCCATGAAGCCCACGGGGGCAGGTTCCCCCACTGTCGCCTTCCTTCCTCGGGAAGGGACCCTTTCCAGACCGGGATCAAGAACGATACCAGAGCCCGGGCACCATCTGCCTTGCCCCAGGGCACCGCACAGCACTTGTTCAAAGCCAGCACTGCAGTTTATCCCAGATTTCCCTTCTCCCTCGGAAAACTGGTCCCGTTGCCTCTCACCATGTATAGAGCACAGAGCACAAGTGCCGTGAAGGACCGGCTGAGTTTTAAGTGGTTTGAAATGGCTCCACTAGACGTGGTCAAGACTGCTGTAAAATCACTTCCCATTAGGACTGTGACCCTCTCTTTACAGCCAACATAATGATTTTAGCTCAGGGGAAGATAA